GTGTGTGTGTGTGTGTGTGTGTGTGTGTGTGTGTGTGTGTGTGTGTGGTGTGTGGTGTTGCAGCTTTAGTAAAAAAAAATGAAAGAGATACACACTGCATCATGGATTAATCTTTTTTTTTCTCCATTGAATTCTTATAATTTATTACTAAAGGCAATCTCAAAGAATTGACACCCAATCCACTTCCAGTTGCAAATCTGAAGACATTCCTACTATGATATGCTTTTTATTTTTATTTATTTTTATTAATATTTATTACAATTTGTTTACTTTGTATCCCGGCTGTGGCCCCCTTCCTCATCTCATCCCAGTCCCCCTTCTCCATCTATGCCCCTCCCCTAGTCCACTGATAGATAACACAAGGCTAGGTAAAATAAGCCAGACATGTAAGATCAAAGATCATATAACTCCAACTATATGATGTACCTGGAGTAGTTAGGCTCTGACACAGAATGGCATGGACTGGCTGTGTTTACTAAATACAGTCATTACATTTGGGGTAATGAAAAGGTTCTAAAGATGGATGGTGGTGATGGTTATTCAATAAAGTGAAAGTACTTAGTACCACTGGACTCTCTACTCAGAGCCCACTCCACTAAGAGTGGACTAGCATGGCCAGTTTTCGTTATGATTATTTTATAATAATCTATTTATCTATTATTCTGGGTTCCATAAGGTCATTCTCACGAAGTGCTCAATGCACTTTGATCACACTCCCTCCCAACCCCATTGCCCTCCCTTCTCTAGCCTCCTCCTATTAGTCCCCTATGTCTCCCAACTGGTTTCACTTTTAATTCATGTCCTCATATAATTATGATTTTATAAAACCATAAAGTCTAAGAAGCACAAATGAGATAAACATATTTCTTTCTCTGACATTGACAGTTTACTGACCATGATCTCTAGTCGCCTCCTTTTTCCTGCAAATAATATCACTTCATTCTTCTCTATGGCTGAAAAATATTTGGCTGTGTATATAAACCACATTGTTTTTCTTTATTCCTCTCTGAGTAGATACCAAGGTTAGTTCTATAACTTGGCGACTGTAGAGAGTACAGTAACCCTGGCCCTAACCCTAACCATAACCCAAACCCTAATCCTAATTGAGTTCAGGTATACTTCCCACAGCTAAGGGAGGCCACTGATGTGGGGACCAGCTCCATTCCTGTCCTTGAGGCATTCAGATGGTACTAATGCTGTGATAAACACTGAAGATCAAGCATCGATGATACACTGACTTGGGGTCATCCAGGTAAATACTCAGGAATGCTAAAAACCAAAACACAGAGCACTAAGCAGAGCATATGGAGGGCATAGTGTTGTATTCAAAACAAGGCTCAGAGACCTACAGAACTTGTTGTATTTGGTGATTAATATTTACTATTGATATATCTTTTAGTAAAGATGTGGTTAATCCTAAACAGCTCTTTAACCAAATCACCACACAGAGACTAAGATTTATTTAGTTAGCCTAGAACACAATGCTGGGCAATAGTTACTCCATCCTAAACCTCCAAGTTTCCTACCATTCAGCTTCACCCATTATACTTGCTTTTAGTGATATCTTAAGTCCAGTTCATTTCTCCAAGTCATTCCAAGACCTCTCCTCCAGCCTCTGCTCTCTCCCTGCTTCTCTCCTCTCCTCCCTCATACTCCTTCCTCTCCTTCTGCCTCCTTCCTCTCCTCCCACTCTTAACCAGGATGCCCCACCCTATCCTTCCCATTGTTCAACATTGTGGCTGGTTGTTTTAGTTGAAGAACAAATGGTGGCATATTTACACAAACTTGAGACAGGTAATGATTAGAATAAGCATCACAATGCAATGTCCGGATTGAAACCAGACAGTGGGGCAGAGAAATCAGCATCTGAGTGAACAAGGGTAGATTCCAAAAGAACATTATACCAACAGTATAGATACGAAAGAAGAGTTATGAACATTTCCATTTGTTCAGAGAAACTGGACAAATAACTAAAACAATCAAGACAAGCAGACAATGGTATTGAGAGTCTGCTCTAGAAAGTGAGAAAAAGGTAAATTAGAGTATTTCTTTAACATGGAAACTGTCTAATAACAACCCTCCAAAGTCATCTTTAGACAATGGATTCCATTTTAAAAGAGCTGAGAATTCTCTGAAGTCTTCTTATACTGAATCTCCATTACAAACGCTCAATTTACTTCTTACAAAAGCACATTTATTCAAAATAGTGAAAATGGAAAACAACTAAACTCCTTTTTAACCATGCTGTACCCAGAGGAAACATACAATTTGTAACTGTGTCTATGTCAGGTGGCTCACAACTGCCTGTAATTCCACCTCCAGGGGGATCTTCCACAGGCACCTGCACTCACTTATTTATGTCTATTCATATGTGTGTGCACACACATGATTAAAAATAATAAAAATAAAATTCTAAGGAACATTTGATGTGCCAAGTCCAGAACTTGCCATCATTTTAACTATTATCTTAAAGAATAAATAGCAAGATTCCAACCTTACAACGAGACGGGCTTACAGCGACCTTGCAATGGTCTGGAAACAACTGGCACCTCCTAGCACTGTCTCAGCAACTGAATGACGAAGGATGCCTCAAGCATAGCTGGTACTTAGTAAATCCTGCATTCTCTCTCGGCTCAGGATGGCACTTCGGAAGACTATAAACTAGACGGGTTCAAAAGTAGAAAGCTAGTTTCTCAATTATAAAGACTAGGAATCCAAAAGCAAGGTGTGAGCGGGCCAGTGTTCACTCTGCAGTCTCTCCTCTGGGCTTGTAGGCAGCTTCTTAGTCTGTGAACACGTTACCCCTGTGTGTGCATGGACAGAGGGAGCCTCACCTTCAGAGCCTTATCTAATCCTAAACTACCTCCAAAAAGCCCATCTACAAGCACCACCTCCATTAGGGTCAGAGTTTTAATATACAAACGTGAGTGAAGGATCATGATACCCAGTCCATAACCCTTCTGTATTCAAAGTCACAAACCTTACCTGCCCAGAGTTAAGGCATCTATTCCAGGAGCTCATGTATACGCTGGAATTTTAGTTTTTAGTCAAAGAACACATTCCAGGGTTTTCTCTTCAGGCCCTGAAGCAGGAGTAGGATCAGCCTGTCCAGGGCAGAGTCAGGCTTATTGTCCCCATCAGGGGTCTGGAGAGAAGTCATTTTCTCCCTGATACATTTCAGAGATGATAAGGAGCTCGGGAAGTGACTGGGACTGCTGGGGCACAAAGTCGAATGGGCTTTGATATAGAATAGTACACACAAGCTTAATTAAAATTTCCTTAGGCTTTCTTGGCCAACTCACCAGAAGGTAGGAACACACCAAGGACCCCTCATACATCTGCCTTCATTCAGGTCTGATTGCAGTTGCCTCAGCAATAATGGAAATTTGCTGCAAGGAGGCTCCAGAGAATTCTCTATTCTCTTTAAATAAAATCCTTTGTATAAAGATGACTTCAGAGAATTTTTATTACAGAGTTTCCATGTTAAAGACTTACTTTAATTCCCAGGTTCCAAATAGTTTTCCAAATAATTATTTCAAACTTTGCCACTCTTTTCAAACCCTTCCCTTCAATCATTCACTCCCTACATCACAGAGAAATCAAAATTGTCAAGGATTCCCTCAAGCAGATGTTGGCTTTCCATTAACAGCTTTAAAGTGTATAGCTCACGTGCTCTTTCATTTCTACACCCCTGTTCCCTGATGAAGAAAAACTGTAAGGTTTCTCAAAACTAGTGTGTCAGCTTTGCCCATTCCTTCTGACTCTTTTGACAATGTCTTCAATCAGCCCTCTTCTTCTTTTTTCTTTTCTTTTTTTATTATTATCATTTATTACAATTTATTCAATTTGTATCCCCACTGTGGTCCCCTCCTTCGTCTCCTCCCAATTCCACCCATCAAAAAAAAACCTAAAATATTTAGAAATACATTTAACAAAAGAAGTGAAATATATGGAAAGGAACAAATGAAGAAAAGAGTTCAAGCACTTAGGCTGTTGAAATAGGAAGACTTTCTGGTTCAGTGACAAACTTGATGAAGACAACATTAAAATCTCATCTGGTTTCTTTGCTGATATCGACATGCTTTCTTAAAGTTCCTATGGAAATGCAAGGAATCAGAACAGCCTATCTTGGAAAGCTACTTCAAACCTGACTACATTCCACTGTAATCAAGAGAATATGGTCCTGACATAGTCACAGATCAATAGACTAAGTTTGAGAACTTGGGAATAGTCCCTTACATCTATGGATCAGTGTTTTCACAAGAATGCCAATCGAGAGAAATAAATCAGCAAATATTGCTGGCACAACTGCAAATCCAAGTACAAACAAAGAAGTTGAATTGGGAGAGTCTAGTTCAATATAAAAAAATATTGAAAATCAACATTTGTAATCTTATAATGATACAAAACCTGAAAAACAGTGAAATCAATGATTAAAGAAAACTGGTAGGTAAGTTGTAAGGTACAGAGCCAATTTCAAACCTGAACAAACTTGAATCCAAACAGTCACTGAGTTTGAGTCATCCAGAACAGAAACCACTGGAGTCATCAGCAGGAATGTTTAACGAGAATGTTTGGCACATTGCTGGAGTTGAGTGTGGTCTAGCCTGAGCGTGGGGAACCTCTGGGGCCTCAGGTACATGGGGAACCTTATATATTCATGAGCTTTACCTCCAGAAACATTATACATTATCATATTAAAACACACAAAACAAAAAGCACAACTGTAGGTGGCAAGGAAAAGCTTCCATTTCAAAATTCCTTGCGCACACTCTATAACTAAATTCTACTTTCCTAGGTAGGTTTTGACTCTCCTCACTATTCTTCAGTCTTTCCAATTAATGTACCACAAAAATCTCTCTAGATTAATAAATTAGTACAGCAACATACAAAAGTTAATTGTCTATGTACCTACAATGAACAAATTGTATGTTTTAAATTGCCTTTGTTTGCCTTCCATTGTTGTGATAAATGCCATGACCCAAAGCGCCTCAGGGAGGAAAGACATTGTTTAGCTTATACTTCCACATCACAGCCCATCATTATGGGAAGTCAGGGAAGCAACTCAGGGAGCAACCTGGAAACAGAATCGAAAGCAAGCAGAGACCAGGGAGGAGTACTGGCTTAGTTGGCTACCTTTCTTAGACAGTCTAGGACCACTTGCTCAGAGATTTCACTGACCACAATTAGGTGGGCCCTTACACATCAATCATAACTCAATAAAATGTCCTGGAGACAGGCCCTCAGGTCAGTGTTATAGAGGAGATTCTTTTGTTGATATTTCCTCTTCTCAGATCTGTCTAATTCCTTGTCATACCCATCAACTCTATGACCTCTCACTTTTAGTCTACTTTGACCCACAAACATTTTTAAGCCATCTGCTCTAAATTTCTCCCCCACCCAAAAGCTTGTGTTAATATTATAATAAAAACCACAGTCAGCAAAAGTTTCAGTCATTTTAAAACTCTAACAATTTACAAGTCCAATTCCTCTTTAAAATTCTAATTCTGGGGCTGGAGAGATGGCTAATGGTAGGAGCATGGGCTGTTCTTCCAGACCTGGGTTTGATTCCTGGAACCCACATAGTGACTTACAACTCTCTGTAACTCCAGTCTCATGGGATCCACCACCTTCTTTTGGCTTCCATGGGTACCAGGCATGCACGTGATGCACAGATATACATGCAAGAATGAGACTCATAAACACAAAATAAAATATTTTTTGAACTCCAAAGTCTCTTAACTGTGGGCTCCTATAAAATAAAATTAAAAGAAAAACAAGTTACATAATTTCTTGTTTCAAGAGTAAATAACCGAGGCATAATTACAATAAGAACATTCCAAACCCAAACTCCAACAGTGTAATATAGCTCAGTTTCCAATATCTGGAACTCACAGTTTTCTGGGTTCCAAAGAGCTTAGGTAGCCCCTCCTCTCCAGCTCTGCCATCTATAGTATGCGCTGCTTGTCTCAGGGAGCTCCACTCCATAGCTACAGTTGTCGTTAGTAATCAGACCACAGTCCTGGCATCCCTGATATGCTGGGGTCTTAACTGCACCTGAGGCTGGACCTTTACCCATGCCCTCTTGGCCTCACTGTAGGAACTCCAACCCAACCATGTCATGCCTTACACCATGTGTTTTTGTATGCTAACTCTTAGGAAATACTTCTCAGAAGATTTTTGACTCAGTGAATTTGACCTCTTATTAATCAGAGATGATTGTTCAATCCCCGCTGACCAACATCTCTTGCCTAGTAAATGTTTTCCTTCCATAGATCCTTAAGCCAAAATATCATATGAATAGCTCTGATAGTCTTCACTTCCCTCTGAAACATCACAAGCCAGGCCTCCATCACCTGCATTTGTCTCAGCATTATCTTCTGAGCTCCCACAGAACAGTCCATTAAACTCTGAGCATTTAATATTATTTCCATCTCAAAATTTCAAACATTTTTACAATCCTCCAACATAACATCGCGATGTCTATCAAAGTGATACCCACTCCTGTATCAATTTATGTCCTAGCTTGTTCCTTTGCTGTGATAAACACAACAATCCAACACAACACACAGGAGGGAACATTTTATTTGGCTTTTAATTCCGAATTATTGTTCATCACTGAGCCAAGACAGGAATCAGGAGGCAAGGTCTGATGCAAAGGTGATAAGGGAATGCTGCTTACTGGCTTGCTTGCTTGCCTCGGCTTGCTCATATATCTTTTTTTTTTTTTAGCTGAAATTAATGTGCACTTTTTAAGTTTATTATTTTTTATTAATTACAGTTTATTCACTTTGTATCCCAGCTGTAGCCCCCTCCCTCATCCCCTCTCAATCCCACCCTCTCTTCCTCTTCTCTTCCCATGCCCCTCCCCCAGTCCACTGATAGGGGAGGTCGTCCTCCCCTTCCCCCTGACCCTAGCCTATCAGGTCTCATCAGGGCTAGCTGCATTGTCTTCCTCTGTGGCCTAGCAAGGCTCCTCCTCCCTCTTCCTAGGGATGGGGAGAAAGTCAAAGAGCCAGCCACTGAGTTCATGTCAGAAATAGTCCCTGTTCCCCTTACTAGTGTACCCACTTGGATACTGAGCTACCATGGACTACATCCAAGCCGGGGTTCTAGGTTATATCCATATATGGTCCTTGGTTGGAGATACAGTCATATAAAAGACCACTGTGCTCAGATATATTAGGTCCTTGTGGAACTCCTGTCCTCTCCAGGTCATACTAACTCCCCCTTCTTTCATATGATTCCTTTATTCGTAATAGCCAGAACCTAGAAACAACCCAAATGTCCATCAACAGAGGAATGGATACAGAAATTGTGGTACATTTACACAATGGAATACTACTCAGCAATTAAAAACAAGGAAATCATGAAATTTGAAGGCAAATGGTGGGATCTAGAAAAGATCATCCTGAGTGAGGTATCCCAAAAGCAAAAAGACACAAACGGTATATATTCACTTATAAGTGGGTACTAGAAATGTAAGATAGGATAAACATACTAAAATCTGTATACATAAAGAACATAAACAAGAAAGAGGACCTGGGGTGAGATGATCAATCCTCACTTAGAAAGACAAATGGGATGGACATTGGAAGTAGGAGAAAACAAGTAACAGGACAGGAGCCTACTACAGAGGGCCTCTGAAAGACTCTACCTAGCAGGGTATCAAAGCAGATGCTGAGACTCATAACCAAACCTTCGGCAGAGTGCAGGGAATCATATATCTTTCTTATGCAGTCCAGGCCCACCCTCCCAGGGATAGCACTGCCCACAGAGGGCTTGGCTTTTCCATATCAATAATCAAGATGCAGTTACATGCACAGGCTAATTTGATAAAAGTACTTCCTTGTTTGAGAGTCCTTTTTTCCAGTTATGCATAAGTTTGTGTCAAGTTGACAGAGCCTAACTGTGACAGCCATGCTACTTAAAACTGTACCTCAATATGAAATGTATCTAATAAAATGATCACAAGGTCTGTATGATGAAAACCACAAAATTGTCATAAAAATAAAAATATAAGTGAAGAGACATGACTGTGGATTAGAAGAAAACATCACTAAGAAATTACTTCTCCACAGCTGCATGAAAAGAATGTAGCACATCAACAAATAATTCTAAGTGGAAAGAAGAAGAGCTAGAATATTCCACGGAGCACCAAGGAAGAAAGGAGTGTCAAAGCATCAAAATTACTTTATTCCAAAGCCTTTTATAATGTCACAATAACTAAGACTGCATGATATTGAAAAAATAGACATATCTATCTTTAATATGGTCAACAAAGGCAAGGGATAAACCCACACAAATAGTCAACTGATGGTCTGTGGAAACAGCAAAGGCACTTCAGGAGAGAAAGGGTGGTGTTTTTGGCAAATGGTACTGGAACAATTGGACATTTATACATAAAAATGTAAAAAATAGATAAAACAATTCAAAATGAATCACATACATGCATATAAAATACAAAACTTTTCAAAGAGAAGGTAGGTTGTTCCTTATTAAAATTCAAGGGATTTTTTCCATTAAAAATACATTATTAAGATAATGACAAAAAAAACAACCCATGGGTTAAGAGAAATTAATGCAAAATATCTTATAAGTGGAACAAAGTCATATAAAAAGAAGGTATCCAAATTTACAAAGAACCTTTAAGATTTAACACTAAGAAAACAACACAATTTTAAAATGAGCTAAAGATTTAAACAGACATTTCACCAAAGTAGACAAAATTAAGGCAAAATTAGCATGTGAAAAGACACTTATCATCATGCATAATTAAAGCATTGCAAATAAAAACAACTTTAATGTTCTGTTGCTCCTATTAGCATGCCCAGCAGACTGGCAAGGCCAATTACTAATGATGGTGCAAAGAAGCAAACCTTATTCACTGCAGGGAGAAATTCATGTTGAATGGTCATGCTACTTCAGAGCTTCAGGGAGCTTGTACACTAGCAACCACACTCTTAGATAATCAATTGTCTTGAAAATGTATTTCCAGTCAGAAGCCCACATGTAAATATTTATAGCAGGGATAATTATAATTGCCAGTAACGAAAAAACAACTAAGATATCTGGCAAACTGTGATAGATCTAAGGTAAATTGTGATAGAACTGTATCATGGAACATTGCTCAGCAATGAAAAACACCATAGATGGACCCCAAATACATATCAGTAAATGAAAGAAATGAATAAGTAGGAGTGGGCATTGTCTCTGACTCTTTGCCTGTTTGTGGGACCCTTTTCCTTCTACCGGATTGGCTCATCCAGCCTTTGTGTGATAGTGTGTGCCTGGTCTTATTATAGCTTGTTATGCCATGTCTAGTTGATGTCCCTGGGAGGCAGGCTCCCTTCCAAGGAGAGGTGGAGGGAAACGGATCATGGGGAGATGGGAGCTGGGGAGTAGAGACTGGGGAGAGGGGAGGAACGCAAAACTGCAGTTAGAAAGTAATATGTGAGAGAAGAATAAAAATAAATAAAAAGATGTCATGTGTGTGGGTTTATTTAATTTTGATTATATGACATTCTAGAACGGACATAGCTCTATAGAGTCATTTAAACTATTAGTAGTCGTTAGGGATTTGGAGAGAAGGTGATAATTGAATAGGTAAAGTAAGTAGAGGGAATATTTTTAAGAGAATCAAACTGTTGTATAAGATGCTATGTGTTTGTCAAAACCTAGTAAGAAAAACCTGTAGCAATGAAAATATTTAAAAAATAATCTGGGACATAAAAGAAACCTTCAGATTGAACGAATAAAAACTTAAAAATATGTAGAACAGTATCAATGAGGAGAGTCAGGGAAATGGTGTTCGTCTTAGTAATCTTGGAAATGAGTGGAATCTGTAAATTAAAAGCAAAAAAAAAAAAAAACTATTCATGAGTACTACACTGGGGTTGATACAGTTTTCAGTATGAATGCAGTTCTGATAATGCTGCATCCTGAGATGGAACAATTACATTAGTGGAGGGAGGACAGAAGGAGCCAGGCTTCCCATTGCTGGAGAGGGAACTTGCTAAAAGAAAGATGAAAAGAGCAGAATGATTTATGTTGTATGAGGTGTAAGATATAATACAGTTCATACTTAGCTTAGCCTAGATATAGATGTTGCATATATATACACATATATGCATATATCCATATATGTGTATATATGTGTGTGTATGCACACACACACACATACATGCCTTCCTATACACACATATTGATCCGTATCAGATCAGAAGAATCTGGAGCAATGATACTCATGTATCGATGTGAGTGTGTCTTGCATCCAGATCTTGATTTCTAATATCATCCTCCAATACAAGGAACCCTGGGGTTCCTGGACAAATGGTTGATTCTGGGAATGGGATGGGAGGTAAATACACACAATGATGGAGGTACTGTCAACGAGCACACGGGATATAAATGGAAAAAACTCCCTAATGGCCAAATGTAGAAAAAATTGAAAAAGAAAAGTAGCATGAGATTTCCCCTAATTCCATTGCTGTTGTTATGATATAATGCCCTAACAAAATCAATTTACTGGACTAAGTACTTATTTTTCACAATTCCAGGTTATAGTCATCACTGCAAGGAATTCCCAGCAGCAAGAGTCTAACAGATGCTTACGTCACATCCATAGTCAGGAGAAGAGAGAGAATTAATGCATTTGCTTGCTTGCACTAGATAGATAGATAGATAGATAGATAGATAGATAGATAGATAGATAG